AAATTAAAGCAATTCATACTCCTGGTGACTTACTGCTGCAGAATAATTGGTTTCTGTTTGCAAAGAACATTATCACAGCAAAGCCTAGAAAACAGAGAGGCATGTCTGAGAGGAGAGAGAGAGAGAGAGTGAGAGTTACTGGGATAGTTTGGAGGAGGGGACAGGTCAAAGGGTAGGTAAAAAAAAATCACTTATTTGAAAAAGTAATTGGCTAATAATTTATTTTATTTTTTTTATTGTACCATCCTAGAACTTGTGCTTATGTGATATATGTGCATATATTGTTGTTGGTTTGTTTTGGTGAGGTTTTTTCTTTCTTTCTTACCATATTCTTTGATATCTCATGGAAATGTTAATGAGACTAAACCAGTTAAAGAGCTCTTTAGACAGTGCAGTGCACTGGGGAAGGCCGAATGAAATGCAGACCCTCCCAAGCCTTCCCTGACACACAAGAAGTCCCTTTGTTTCCTGTTTTATAAACCAGAGGCATGTCTAAAATTGCAGGGAAAGTGAGAGGAGGCTGAAGAGTTGGCGCCAGAGGCTCAGCTTTCTATATTTAAAAAGAAGAAAATGGCGAGTTATTCGTGCCTGGATTTGATAGGCGGTGTAGGGTGTTTTTGAAGTCCTGAAGGAAGGTTCTCTGAAGATGTAAGAGGGAGCGGAGCTGTCTTTCACTTCAACTTAATTAAGAAACTTGCTGGCTTTGTCTGTAGGGGGCCCGTTCCATGCCGGCTCCAGCCCCCTCTGAATAGCAGCCCAGCCCGGAAAGTGTATACATGCCATACTGCCTTTGTGTGGTGTTGCCAAACTGCAGGCAGGCGCAAGTGCGAAGGCGGCTTTGCCAGAGGTCAGCCCGTGTTGTTCATGGCCATGAACCCACGTCCCAAACAGAAAGCTCAAGCAAGTGTACGGCGGTTTTCAGGGACCTAGAACTAATGAACCTTTTAGAAAATGAATATAGTAAACAATAAAGTGGTAGGGGGTCCAAGAGAGTGGGTCTTGTTTTCCAGTGTCCTGTTCATAAAATCTAGGGATGGGCTGGGAGACGGACAAAAGAGGTAAACTGTGTCTGTCCCTCAGGGCTTTGTATGTAAACCAGGGCAGATGGAGCCTGGCTCCAGGCACAGGCTCACCCTCAACTTGATCCCATCCAGCACAAGAGTAATTTTGCTTTGGTCACTGTTCTTGTAACCTTGAGAATAATTTCCCCCTGGTGGGCTACTGTGGCCTACTCTATTTAGAACAAAGTTACTGAATGCTGGAGAATAAAGAACAGTTGGGAGGCTGTGAGCAGTGGTTAATCAGCTAATTCGCATTTCAAAAGACACTAATAAGAGGTGATAAATTCCAGTAAAGCCCCTGATATGAGTACTAGAAAGCCCCAGTGCTTTCTGCTTCTGATCCTCTCTCCCTGCCCATCTTTCCTTGTACCTTTGAACTTGCCAGGACCCCAGGTATATGCTGCCTGACTCACTCTAATCCGTGGCAGGGTCCTACAGGCCTTTGTCAGCAACTTGGCTGTCCTTCTGTTTGTCATTAGAGCACCCTCTGCCCCGGGAGTGGGCACCTATTGGGGTTTGCTGCTCTTAGCATCTGCCCTGACCAGCTTTTACTGACCTTCCAGATGCTGGCCCTTGTTTACCAGGACCCTTTTGCTCCAGTTTGCCTTGCTGAGCCCCAGCCTCACATTCTATCACCTCATCTATGCCTCTTGTGATGTGTGTAGGTTATTTACTTGACAGTGACTTTGTTTCTTTAACATTAAGGGCTCTGCCTGTGAATTGTAGTTATTACTCATTCACTTACATTGGAACTGACTCATAGCTGACCCTCCAGTGGGTTTTCAGAGGCTATCATTTGCATGGAAGGGGACTGTCCATCTTTCTTCTAGTGGATTCAAACTGCCAAGGGACTCTGCCTTTGAAATAGCAGCTCAACTTCCTGTGGATTGTGAAGCCACAAACAGAATTCATTGAAGATCTTTTCAAGAGCCATACTACTTGTTGTTGTTATATGCCATCGAGTCATCTGCAACTCAGAGAGACCCTAAACTCTGTCCTATCCTGTGCCAATCTCACTATCACTACTCCCATTACCCCAGTCACTGAATCAATCCATCTCATCGAAGATCTTCCTCTTCTGCGCTGTCCCTCCACCCTCCCAAGCATGAAGTCCCTCTACAAGGACTGATCCCTCCTTGCAACATGTCCAAAATATGTCAGTTGAAGCTTCAGAATCCTTGCCTCCAAAGAGCAGCCTGGCTTCACCCTCTCCAGGGCAAACCTATTCGTTTTCTTAGCAGTCCATGGTATGTTCAATACTCTTCTCCAACACCACAGCTCAAAGGCATCAATTCTCCTTCTATCATCCCTAGTCATTGTTCAGCTCTCTGATGCATAGCAAGTGATTGCAAAGACCATGGCATGTGTCAGGTGTACCTTAGTCTCCAGACTGACATCATTGCACTTCAGTACTTTGGAGAGGTCTCTAACCACAGACTTTCCCATCACAATACGTCTTTTAAATTCCTGGCTGCTGGTGCCAACAGTGTTGACTATGGAGCCAAGCAAACCAAAACTGTGAACTGACAAAACTACCAGATAGCATGACACTGCAGTATTTTCTCTAAAGAAAGTTAGTAAACTTTCTCTGAGACTCTCTGGAGCAGTTCTTGGGGCTTTTTCCTCTGCTTTTGGGCAAACTAGAGGAGGGAATGTCCCCCAGAAGCCCAGTGATTATTGTTGATTGGTGTCGAGTTGAGCACAACTCATAGTGAGCAACCCTATGAACAAAAGACCTGAAGCCCTTCTATAACTATCGTCATTTCTCAAAATTCATAGAGTTTCTAGTGGCATGTTGTTTAGGAAGTGGATGAGCTCCCAAATTCTTACATATAATTCATCAAACCTTTAAATAGATCTTACAGACTAAGTGCATCTGATCCATGTCATGGTATCTTCAGTTGCTCCATATGGGTCTGTAAATTGGACAGTGAATAAGGAAGACTGACAAAAAATTGATACATTTGAATTGTGATATTGGTCAAAAGCACTGAATATCCCATGGACTGTCGAAGTATAGTGTTAAAGTAAATGCAACCAGGACGCTCCATAAAGGCAAGGACAGTGAAACCCTATCTCACATACTTTGGGCCTGTTGTCAAGAGGGGACAGGCCTTGGAAAAAAGCATCATGCTGGGAAAGGTGGAGAGTCAGAGAAAGAGATAGATAGGTGGACACAGTGACTACAACAGTCAGTTGGAGCATGGCGTCCATCGTAAGGACAGTGCAGGATTGGGCAAAGGCTGTTGGTCATAGGGTCACTGTGAGTCAGAGTTGACTCAAAGACACCTAACAATAAAACTTGACATAGACAGCATGAGATAAACAAATAGAAAAACGAATCTGGAGGATACGAAGATAATAAGTCTAATACAAGACCAGACAGTAAACCCAAAATATAATGAGATTTAAAAAAAGCAATAATCTTTATGGCTCCTGTCCTTGGAGAGATTTAGGGGAAATATTGAGTCTGGTTTTTTTAAAAATGGCCTGGTGTGCAGTTGGCCAGCATAGTTCCCTGCACACCACAGCCCTTGGACTCCCTATTGTACTTACAACCACCCCAAAGGCCTGGCTCCCAGCTATGCCATTTTGACTTTGTGATTGGCCAAGGGGTCTGATGAGTGAAACAGACTGTTCAGCACTCAACTGCTAACTGAAAAGTTGACAATTCAAATCCACTCAGAAGTGGCCTCTTAAGGGAGGCCTAGGAATCTGCTTACAAACAGTTCAGCCATCAAGAACTTCATAGAACATGGTTCTGCTTTCAAACCCAGAGGTCACTGTAAGTTACAATCAGTTCCATGGCAACTGGATTCTTCTTTTAAGTGGTCTGACAGGACTCAAAATGGTCATCTTCCCCCATGGCACACCTGCTGTCAGATGGACTGGTGTGGGCTTTGCCTTGGTTTCCGATGGGCTCCTCTTAATGGGTCTTTCTGGACTCACAGACTAATGACTCTGTCCTAGAACCAGCAGCCCTAATGCAGTGCCTGTAAAATCACTCAGAGAAATAGAGCACTATCGAAATACAGCACTACAGAAATAGGGCAGCAGTGTCAAAGAGCAAGTGATTTTATTTCAGCCCAGAGTTCAGCTCAGTTCTGGGAGCTAAGTTTATCTGCCCTATCGCCCACCTATCCCAGCCCCTGGCACATTTTAGAAGATGTTGCCATCTTTTTAAAAACATATATTCTGACCAGTGGATATGCCTGTGAAAGGTAAAGAAAATAATTTCCCAGAATGTCCTTGACCCAGAAACTGAAGGCAGCATCACCTGTCGTCAGCCGTTTGTGTGCAATCTGTCCTAGGCTGTCCCTTCTTTTCCTTAGCCTCGCCTGTTCTGAAAATTCATCAGGAACTCAATGATCACCTTTGTTACACACCTGACATTTCATATCTGGCCATGGTTGATATGAGATTTCCACAAACTTGGTCCTTGACAGCATAATGACAGGTAGGGATATCTTCTCAGACCTAAAGGGACTCAAAAGGTACTAACTGGGAACTACCTAGCAAGATTAATCACCGGTGATAAAGGCTTCCTGCGTGGCATGCCTTCTGATTATCAGAAATATATAGATTTTTTTTGTTGTATTGTTCATATCCTTAATGATTTATGAAGTGCTTTCAGAAGGAGTTGGCCCCGATGGCCTCTGTGCCCCTGGCCATGCCATGTGACCTACATAAGCACCAGGGCCCGGGGCCCACATATCTGACCTCAGCATATATGGTATATTTGTTAACTGCTAAGGGATTCTGTGGGTAACAACTTCAGAGCAAAGAGTCCAACTTTCTATCAGAAAGCAGTCTCAGCTCTAAGTGACAGGAGCAATTTGTTATGACTTCAGCATGAAAAGAGTTTAATGTGGAGATCCGTCGAGGTCAGAGTTCGGTTGCTGTTCCTTTTGTGCGCGCTGCTGCCTTCGCTACTTGGCAATGCAGATCTTTGTGAAGACCTTGACTGGCAAGACCATCACCCTCGAGGTCGGGCCCAGTGACACCATTGAGAATGTCAAGGCGAAGATCCAAGACAAGGAAGGCGTCCCCCCTGACCAGCAGAGGCTGATCTTTGCCGGGAAGCAGCTGGAAGATGGGTGCACCCTGTCTGACTACAACATCCAGAAAGAGTCCACCCTGCACCTGGTGCCTCGCCTGAGAGGGGGCATGCAGATCTTCGTCAAGACCCTGACCGGTAAGACCGTCACCCTTGAGGTTGAGCCCAGCGACACCATTGAGAATGTCAAGGCGAAGATCCAAGACAAGGAAGGCATCCCCCCTGACCAGCAGAGGCTGATCTTTGCCAGGAAGCAGCTGGAAGATGGGCGCACCCTGTCTGACTACAACATCCAGAAGGAGTCCACTCTGCACTTGGTCCTGCACTTGAGGGGTGGTGTGTAACTTTCCCTCTCTTACGCTATCAAGAAATTTCATTGCACTTTCTTTGAATAAAGTTGTTACATTCCCAAGAAAAAAAAAGAAAAAGAGTTTAATGTAAGGATATCTAATCCCTTAGGGGGTAGAAGAATCAGTGAGTAGGCTGGAGAATCAGGCTAGAAAGTAGAGAGGTGTCACAGGTAGGTGCAAGTAGAAGAAGTGTAACCAGGGCCATGCCAGAGCAGCCCATGGAGCTCTGTACATCCTACAGCCTCTGTACATCCTATCAGCTTGATCTGCTGGTGCAAGACACCAGTGGTTATAGCCATCAACAGTGCAGCCGTTGGTGACCCTGGAAAAGGATTGGGCTGATACCACTCCTTTTGTCACTAAGCATCACAGGCTTAAAACCATAGCACTGCTTGGCTGGCTGCACACGAGCTGGCAGAGGGGCCGGGGAATACCAATATTTTGTCCTTTCCTCTTGCCAAGGCTCAGAAGGGAAAGAATCCTTTGACTGTAAGAAACAGGTTCAGGTGCTGGGCAGCTAAAACTAGTAGTTACGCAGCTATAGGAGAAACGAAGTGCTGGTATGTGTGAGGTTCAGGGGTTGAACCTTGAACACATGTTGTGTGAAAGAAGTCCGTCACAAACCACAAATACGATCCCACTAATGTGAAATAGACAAATGTGTGGAGGCATTTCTTATTCTCAGTTACCACAGAGATGGGAAGGAAGGGGGAAAAGGACACTGAGGTTCTGTTAGTGGTTGTAGAAGAATTTGGAAAAGGATAATTAATAAAGGTGGTTGTAAAACATGGGGAACATAATGTTGCCGAATTATAGATGTAAAAATCATTGTTTTATATATGTTTATGATAGTAAGATAATAGCTGGCATCACCCTAAACTCCCAGCCCTTCTGGGAGGTTTCCAGAGATCGACAGCATCTTCCTGAGCTCCTCATAATGAACAGCATAGCCTTCCTCAGGCCCAGCTACCAAAATGATGAAAGGTACACACAGCAGAGTTTTCAACACTTGTAGGCATGGGAAGCTATGCCACTGTGCAGGTCACACGCCAAGAAGCCAGGTGTGGCTTTACCTCAAGGGGCCATAGGCATATAATTTGGTCTCAGTTCTTTATAAAGCCATGCAACTGGATTCTGATTCCTCAAACACTTACGGATGTTACTTCCTATTCACAACAACTTGGGATGGAAGCATTAATTCCCCTTACTCTACAGTTAGGACCTATATATCATCGCTGAGTTGAGGCCAGCTCGCAGTCAACCTGGATATCGGGGCAGCGCTGTCCCATAGGGTTTCTGGGGACAGCTTTACAGGATCAGCTGCCTCCTCCTTCTCCCACAGAACGTACAGTGACTTTGAGCCACCAGCCTTTTAGTTAGTAGCCTAGTTCCTAACCACAGTGGTACCAGAATGCCCTACAGTCAGGATAAATGAGGCTGATTAACAGGAGAGCTATGATTCCAACTCAAGTCTTTTGCTTAAAAGCTTACAGAGAAAAAAAAAAATTTCAATCATTCAGACTCATTTTGTTTTATATAGCATTCATTATAATATACACACTGTAATCACATTTTCCCCACCTGCTTTCTAAGATTTATCCTTGGGGAAATGATTGCTTTTTTGACCTAATGTTGTGTTGTTATGTGCTGTTGAGTCAACTGTGACTCATAGAGACCCTATAAACAATAGCCCTGAACCTTGTCCTGTCCTGAGTCAACCTCACCATCTCTGACACACCTGTTCCCATTGCCACAGTCCCTGTGTCAGTACATCTCATCTAGGTCTTTCTCTCATGCACTGACCTTCTACCTTTCCAAGCTTGATACCCTTCTCCAAGGACTGGTCCCTCCTGGCAACATGCCCAAAGTTTGTAAGGCAGAGTTTGAAAATCCTTGCCTCCGAGGAACAACTGGGTTTCACCCTCTTTAGGGCAGACCTGTTTGTTCTCTTGGAAGTCCATAGTGTATGTTCAATACTCTTCTCCATCACCACAACTCAAAGGCATCACTTCTCATGACATCCTTAGCCATTGTCCAGCTCTGATTCATAGCAAGCAATTGAGAAGACTGTGGTCTGAATCAGGTGCACCTTAGTCTCCAGACTGATATTACTGTTTTTTAGCACTCTGGAGAGGTCCCTGAGAGTAGACTTTTTTAAAGCAACTCATCTTTGGATTTTCTGACTGCTGGTGCCAAGAATGTTGATTGTGGATCTGAACTAGATGAAATTGTTCACAACCTCATCCCCCCGCCCCCTCACATCTATCAAGATACCACCAGTTGGCCTGGTGGTGAGAATCTTTGTTTTCTTTATGTTGAGATGCAATCTATATTGAAGACTGCAGACCTGGACCATTCTGCCTGGAGCTCTTGGTCACCTTCTTGGTCTGTCTGTTCTTTGACTGAAAGTTTAGTCATGGATGCAAGTTTTGTTCCAGGTTTGAAGGCCAACTAAGGACCCTAGTCCTGTGGGTTCCACCAGTCTATGTTAGATCAGTAAACCTGGCCTTTTTATAAAGGTTTGGAGTTCTGTCCCACATTTCCTCTTGTCTGCCCAGTGGTAGTCAGGCACCAGCTGGTTCTTCTTTTGGAAGCTGAGATTCCTGTGGCCCACTTGCCCTTGGGACTCATTGTTTCTGTGTGTCTTTGCTTTTCCTCTGTATTCTTTGTTCTGGACACAGAGAGAAAAACAGCTGCAGTTCAGATGGCTGATCACAGGCTTTAAGACCTCAGTCACTGCTCACTGAAATAGAGTATAAAACATTGCCTTGTGAACTGCGCCTTCCCAATTATCAGCTCTTTGAATCTAAAGTTCCACTTTCTTTATACCATATTACTCCCTGCACCAGGGGCTCATGGCCACATTCCCTGAAAAAAAGTCCTTTACTCCCATCAGGTTGCTTCTGACTCATGAGTTCAAACCAGTAACCTTTTGGTTCACAACCGACTGTCTTGAACACAGTGCCACCAAAGTTCCTTTTAATCCAGCGTATCCAAACTGCTATCATTTCAACATGTAAGAAGCAGTCAGTTGAAAACAAAACGACTTTGCTTTTCACGCCTACAAACTGTGTTTCAGGAACTAGTGGCTTGGTGACCTCCAAACACCAGCTCTTTTAATTAAGAAAACAAACAAACTTAGAAGATTTTCTTTTGTGTGGAAGTGTAATTGTGGGTGTGTACTTGAACAACTGAATTTGCTTCCCCTTCTAGGAACACTTCACCTTCTCCTCTGATCCCTCAGTGTTCCCTCCACAGTGTGGGCTTACAGCCTGCCTCTCTCCCCGCCTTGTCCTCCTCACCCAGCAGGAATCAGAGCTCACATTTGGTGTCTCTGTGTGTTCTCACCCTTCTAGTTCTCTTTCTGCCACCTGCTCTAGCCCTGGATGTCGTCCTTGTGTCTAACTCCTTGAATGCCAGCTCCTAGCACCCCCTCCTCTGCCATCAAAGCGGCTGGTACTGGCTCTACTTCCATACTATCTTTGTCTGAGAACATTCTGGAGTGACAAGCGCCTTTATCTCTTTTCTTACTTTTTCTACACTGGGGTGTGTGTGTGTGTGTGTGTGTGTGTGTGTGTGTGTGAGAGAGAGAGAGAGAGAGAGAGAGAGAGAGAGAGAGAGAGAGAGAGAGATTTCTCTCTCCTCGTCCTAGTTCCCAGAGAAACTGCCCAGGTGACCTGCACAGAGAAGACCCTCAGCTCTCTAGCCTCTAGCATCTTCTCCAACACCATCTTTCTCCTTGGCTGATCCTAACATGATTTTAAAGTATATTTTTAAAATATTTCTGATGTTTATAAAATACAGTATTATTTGACATGTTTTTAATTAAAAAATTTTAAAAAACACCCACAAAACAATCCCACCAACCAACAGTACAACCCAACATAGCTCTGGAACAAAATATAGCTCATTTTAAAGACACACACACACACACACCCTCCTCAATAAGGAATTGAACTGTTTTTTATTGCTTTGTAGCCCTTAATTGGCTTTCCCCCCCCTAAAGCTTTTGGATTTTTTTTCCCTTTTCCCTTCTCATCCCCCTCTCTATTTTGAACCCAGAGAAGGAGAAATTTCCATGGTTTATTAGTTCATTAGCTGCTAGAAGAAATAATTGATCTGTCAACCCAAAGGATTTATAAGGATTTGGCTCACCGAATTCCTGAAAGCACTAGCATAGGTTCTGTCTCAAAAGAAAAGGTTTCAGAACGGGCTTCCTTGTAACTTGTTACAAGATAAAAATTAGCATCTCTCTAGTGAGGAAAGGGCCCCGTTTTTTAAGATCCTCTCAATCTTCAGGGACTATAGCTGCAGTATTTGTACATATGTCTGAAGTAATTGGAAATGCATTTCCCCCACAAGAACAGATTCTAAATATTATAAAGCTTTTGGTTTCTTTCAGTGCTGTTTTTCTTGCAAAAAGGGATGAAACGCAACTGCCTCAAACCTCAAATGAGTTTTGTTTTTTTCAAGTGAATGTACCCAAATAGGGTTTGGTTCCCAAAGGAAAGAATGACTGCGAAGCTAACAGACCCATCATGAGCCATCCCTGCCCTCTGAAATGGCCTCTCCCTCCGCTCCTTACAATGCAGGACTAAGGCCCCAAGCAAGGGTCCAAGAGAACTCTGGACAAGAAATATACAATGGAGTGGGATAAATTTCTTTAGCATAAATAGCAGTCTCCAAGGGTGACTGGTGTGAATGGATTCCTGCTGTGAGGGTCTCTGCCTGCAGAGCAGATCTGTGGCTTTAAGAGCTGTGGTCCCACCCCCCTGGGCTGGGGAAGTGCGCAGTCTCCCTGCTGGGCCGGGTCCACAGGCCCCCTGTGGGCCTCCTCTTTCCTTTCAAGCTGTGAGTCCTAAGGAACTCGGTGACAGCTCCTCTTTCATTCTGCTGAGCAAATCCTTGAGCTGTTCCTAGTGCTTTCAAAAGGAAAATATAAGACATTTCACTTATTCTGTCCAGCAGCAGAGCTGCCCTCTGCTAAGACCCCGGGTTATTCCGTCTGGCCATCAGCCTTGGGGAGATTTCCCACTTTGTGGTGATTTGTAGTGGACAGTCC